GCAACCAAGGTTATTATTTGTACAACAACATTTGTGTTCAAAAAGCGTCAAACACGCCATGCAACGCAATTCAGATCACAGAGGATGTTTGTCTTAGCAAAGAAGATGCTGGGTGTGATGAAGTTTTAAATAGCAAGTGCACATCGTGTCAGAGTGAATTGATACTCGACAATGGAATGTGTAAAAGTTGTTCCTCGTCAATACAAAACTGCACAAGTTGCTCCACTTCGAGCATGGGGAGCATCATGTGTTCTGTGTGCAGAGAAGGGTTCTTTCCAGAGAAGACGTGTAAATCGTGCAGAATGATATATGGGTGTGAGTTGTGTGTAAACTTGCTTGTTGGCAATGTTGAAAGCACTCGAATTTGCACAAAATGCCTGAGTGGGTTTTATTTGCAAGATGGTGAGTGTCTCCAAATCAAAAACTGTGTTGCGAACACAGGAATAGAGTGCACAAAATGTGAACAAAACTTTATTGTGGAAGAAGGTGAATGCAAAGAATACACAACACAGTTGGGGTGTATTGCAACTGATGGTGTATTTTGCACGATGTGTTCTGATGGATTTTACTTGTCACAAGAAAGTCGGCGATGTTTGTCGTGTTCAGTTGCGAGTTGCAGCAGGTGTGACACAACTGGCAAATGTATTGAGTGCAACACAAGCAACTCATTGAAAGACGGGAAGTGTGAGAGGTGTGGGATTGTTGGGTGTTCACGCTGCAACTCGACAGGTAGTGATTGTCTAAGTTGTGACAAAACCCACTTCTCAACAACACTGCCAACATTACAATGCACAGAGTGTACCACAATAACGATTGGGTGTTTGGAGTGTTCAAGTGAGCATTGTACAAGATGTCAAGACGGGTATTTCATCAACACCACGGATCACAAATGCAACTCATGCAAAATGATAAAGGGGTGCACAACATGCTCACTTGAAACGGGGAAGTGCTTCAAGTGTTTGGATGGGTTTTATTTGGTGAGTGGACAATGCGCTTTGTGCAACAAAACCATCCAAAAGTGTGGAAGGTGTTCGAGTGAGTCAAATTGCAACAGTTGTGAAGAGGGATACTTTTTGGAGGAGAACACGTGCCACAAATGCAGTGAGATAGACGGGTGTGAGGTTTGCGACGAATCAAGTCGTCTCTGTTTTAAGTGCAAAAACTATTACACCGCATTGGTAGATGGAAATGGATACAAATGTGTCGATTGTGAAACTGCACACGAAAACTGTTCGAGTTGTTCAGTTGATGGAAATTGCACCGAATGTAAAAGTTCTTTTATGTTAAAAGAGGGTGTTTGTGTTGAGTGCTCAACTTCAAATCCAAATTGCCACGTTTGTGCAACGACAAGTTCGAGGTGTCTGTCGTGTGATGTTGGGTATGGTGTTGATGATAATGGACAATGCCAGAAGTGTATTGATGTGAATTGTCTTGACTGTGAGTTGTATGACAAATGTTCAAAATGCAAAGAAGACACAATTCTCACAGATGGGAGTTGTGTGAGTTGCAGTGTTGACAACTGTAAGACGTGCGATTTGAATGGGTTTTGTGTTGAGTGCAAATCGAGTTATTATCCGAATGATGGTGTTTGTCAAAGCTACAATTTGAGTTTTTTCAATTGTGTTGAAACGTCAACAACCAGAAACGAGTGTTTGAAGTGCAATATAAATTATTATTTGAAATTGGGAAATTGCAATCCATGTAACTTGTTTGATGCCAATTGTGTTGAATGCAACAATAGCACATGTTTAAAGTGTTCAGAAGGAACATATCCAAGTGGGGTTGGAAAGTGTTCGTCATGCAACACTATGGCAAACTGCACAAAGTGCCAACAAACGGCGCCTGTTTGCACAGAGTGCTCTTTTACATCTTCTCCAAGTGGGCAATTGGTAAATGGGTATTGCAAAGATTGCACTGTTGACGGCTGTGTGAAATGCAAAACAAAAACGTCTGGTAGTAATGTGTATCCCGTTTGTGAAACATGTGCACCGGGGTATAACCTCAACTCAAATGACGAATTTTGTTATCCAAACACGATCAACGATTGTGAAGAGTATGAAACCAACACCAACACTTGTTCGAAATGTAAAAATGGGTTCACATTGAATGCAAACACATGTCAAAGTTGTTCCAATACACTGACCAATTGTGAAGAATGCGCGTCAACATCGAGTTGCACAAAGTGTTCAGAGGGATTTACTGTTGGCACAGACAACACTTGCCACACCTGTTCAGATGTAATACCAAATTGTGATAAATGTTATTCTGACACTTCAAAATGCAAAGAATGTGCAGTTGGGTATTACGTCACAGAAGGTTTGACGTGTTCGAGTTGTGATTCGGTGATATCAAATTGCA